GATGAGAAGATCGTCCCCATTCTGAAGAAGAAACTGCCGGGAGCCGATCTGTCTGGTCGCCTCATTGGCTCTGCACCAGGTAATTGAAATGTGACAAAAACAATAATAGTTGCACATCCCTATTGCACCGGGTGTCCAAGGTTTTAAATGCAACATTTGAGCCACAGTGATTGTGCGTTTGTGGCTTTTAGTGGTCACTAAATGTGAGAGACGAGAAAGTCATCGTCCTGTTTTATCTTACGTGCCCCCCCAGCCGTTGGTTGTTTGCACTGCTCTGCACGCGCTCTGCTTCTATGCTAACTCTGGAACACGCTTGACTCAGATGTGTGTCTTGTGCCCTCAGTGGCAGGTCCATCTACCTCTTTGACCACCATGTCCTTGCTGGCTAAGAACACACCTTCCCGCTCTGAGATGACCAAGGTGCAGCAGCAGGTGAAAGTGAACGGGGCATCGATGACGGTACTGCGGAGGGAGATGCAGGAAATCCGGGTGAAGCAGCTGGAGCAGCAGAAGCAGCTGCAGGACCAGGAGCAGAAGCTGCAGGAACAGAGCCAGGTGATCGCTGAGCAGAACGCCCGCCTCGCAGAGCTGGAGCACAAGCTCCGTGAACTGATGGAGAGTAGCGCCGCTGCTATCGGAGGACCCAGGCCCAACACAACTGTCCCCTCCACATCCAGCAGCTCCGCTGTGTCTTTCACTGCTGCCGGCACGTCTGCTGCTGTCTTGACAGGCGTGGCTGCAGCCTCACCCAGGGAGACGGAGGGTGAGGTAGGGTCTTCGCTAAAACGCACCAGAAAAAGCTCAGACCTTCCACGACAATCCAAACGGCTGCGCAGCAAGAAATGAGAAACTCAGTGTGTCATTTAGCTCAAGTTATTTTGATTTTTAAGGTCTGACGGATCACATCTTAAACCCAGTGCCCAGAGTTATCAGCCACTCCACCAACACACTTCCTGTATACTGTCTCACACACAGCGCTGACACCACCCGCTGCGCTGTGGGATAATTCTCTGCTGTCCAAAGCACTGAACCCTGAACGTCATCCAGGACTTTGCACGTGGTTAGGTTTGTCGTTACAGAACTGTTAATGTCTGACTTTCCTTTTGTTAAAGACTCGCCTAATAATACGTTACTATGTAAACACGTCACTAGTTTATAGTTTCACCTTTGAAAAGGTCATTCTCAGCTACTCCGCG